CACAGTCAGGTTGTGCTGTTTGATGGGTTCAATCACAAAGAGATCATTTCAAGCCAGCCATCCTTATAGACTGAGTGCCTGGGGATATAAGAACAAGGTAATGCTTCCGTTTGCTGACTCTGCCTTTGCTAATTAACTGCTTTGAGGCCACTGAACGGAGCTCTGTCATGAGCCAAGACGTATCTTCAGTGAAACAGCCAGGTCTTTTTGAGTTAATGTGGGGGGAGGGCTGTGAAAGGTGAGGCGGAGAAGCTTCCTGACTGAGCTGCTGGAGATTTGGGGTTGGAGATGGAGCCACCGGGAACTGGCTCAGGGCAAGAATGACCAGGGTTATACTCGACGTATTGGGGAAGTGGTGAAGGGGAGGAGGGATGTACAATGGAGCAGGCAGCACTTGGAACTTGAGTTTGGTGGCCCAGTACAATCCTGTCCCACCCCAGTAGTTGTTTGTCTGCAGGCAACATCAGCAGAGGCAACAACAGTCAATTTCTTTATTAAATCAATGACTTGAGGAACATGAATTACTGGGTGTATTTTCAGCAAAAGTCAAAATGTTTTGTGGAACCTATACTTTTTGGAATAAAAATTAGTCAAACTCCATTTTTCCATCAAAAGCCAGTTTTGACTTAATATTTTGACTCTCTGGCTACGTCTACACTGGCATCCCTTCCGGAAAAGGGATGCTAATGTAGCACGTTGGAATAGGCAAATCCGCGGGGGGTTTAAATACCCCCCACGGCATTTGCATTAACATGGCTGCCACTTTTTTCCAGCTTGTAGATAAGCCGGAGAAAAGCGCCAGTCTGGACGCGGTCCTCCGGAAAATAAGCTCTTTTTTCCCTGTTTGGGGAAAGCTATGTCATACCCAGAGCTGGGATTGGGAGATCAGCTTTCTATTTCAGCTGCGCCACAGATCTCCTTGGGATGTGTCTACACTGCATTGTAACTCAAAATCAGATACACAATTTGAGCTACGCAAATGTTGAATGGCTTATTTAGTCATTCTGCACAGTCTACACAGTGCTGAATTTTGAAATAAAGTGCTATTCCAAAACTTCCCTTTCTCCTCATAGAATGAGCTTTACCAGGACATCGGAATAGTGACCCTGAAATACCAGGCTTGCTGTGAGGATGCGGGATAGCTATTTCGGGATATCGGAGTATCCCGAAATAGCGCTGCAGTGTATATGTAGCCTTCGGGACCCAGGCAAGATTTTGCCATCATCACTCATATTGGGTAGTACCTTAACATCAGAAAGGTTCCCTGGGGACTTTGTGACTCAGTGTCAGAAACCTTTCTGGGCCTCTGTTTCCATGTTGGCCATATAGTGTTTCCCCACCTCACAGTCAGGTTGTGCTGTTTGATGGGTTCAATCACAAAGAGATCATTTCAAGCCAGCCATCCTTATAGACTGAGTGCCTGGGGATATAAGAACAAGGTAATGCTTCCGTTTGCTGACTCTGCCTTTGCTAATTAACTGCTTTGAGGCCACTGAACGGAGCTCTGTCATGAGCCAAGACGTATCTTCAGTGAAACAGCCAGGTCTTTTTGAGTTAATGTGGGGGGAGGGCTGTGAAAGGTGAGGCGGAGAAGCTTCCTGACTGAGCTGCTGGAGATTTGGGGTTGGAGATGGAGCCACCGGGAACTGGCTCAGGGCAAGAATGACCAGGGTTATACTCGACGTATTGGGGAAGTGGTGAAGGGGAGGAGGGATGTACAATGGAGCAGGCAGCACTTGGAACTTGAGTTTGGTGGCCCAGTACAATCCTGTCCCACCCCAGTAGTTGTTTGTCTGCAGGCAACATCAGCAGAGGCAACAACAGTCAATTTCTTTATTAAATCAATGACTTGAGGAACATGAATTAAGCATTTAGGCTGCCAATCTCTGCAGTCTGTGGCCACATCCAAAAGGAATATGCTCATTAAAAGCCCCCAATTAGCATAGCAGGCACTTAATGCCAAGCATTACTCTGACCTCCAAAAACCTCCAAACGTTCGGCTTGATTGGGTGGGTGGGGGTGGAGGACCGGGTGGGATTACTTTTAGCAACGTTGTTCTTCAGTGAAATGCGAGGGGCTAAATTGGCAAAAGCACTTTACAAAATTGACCGTGTCATTTTGCAGGTGTTCTAATTTGTAGGCTCAAAGGCCTGCATGCATTTAGACAAATCGAGGCTCAGAAGGGGGCCAGAATCCCAGAGGCAAAACATGAACCGAATTGTGCAACTTATCTGAATGTACAATTACGATGCATGTGCCTCTTTAGAGGGTGATTGTGCACTTGAATCCCAGCATGATTATGCTTGAAAACTGCACCTATCCTTGAAAAACAAATATTCCTGTGTGTGTGTGTGTGTGTGTGTGTGTGTGTGTGTGTGTGTGTGTGTGTCAGAAGGATGTTGGGGCAATATTAGGATTAACCCTCACATTCCCCTTCCTTTCGCATCTCAGCTTAACTCTGTTCTCTGTTGCAGTGCAGTCCAGTGTAGCACAGTTAAACCTCTGGTCTCTTGCATGTAAAACCATGATGAGTAAGTGTGAATAGATCCCAGTCCACTTCAAAGTGAGTGCCCTCCACTTTCTTAGGCCTGGTCTATAGTACAGTGTGAGCTCGATGCAAGTTCAGCTTACATCCAACTAATTCTGCAAGCACCTCCGCTAAAATGTCACTCCTGCATATGTGGACTTAGGTGTGATAGAAATACAGTAAAACTCCAATAGTCTGGCATCCAATAGTCCGGCACTCCTGATAGTCCGGCATCAAAATGGCAAGAGCCTAGTGAGTGAGCTTCGGCAAAAAATGAGTCACAAGGTAACAGCGGCAGCAGCTGAACTGAGCAAAAAGGGTAAAAAAGGCTTAAAAAAACTAAAACATTACAGTATACTGTATACAGTATGTCAAATAAAAAGGGTTAAGCACACTTTATATACAGTATATAATGTAGACAGTATATATATCCAGCTTATAGTACCTCCTGATAGTCCGGCATATCTGATAATCCGGCACCACCTAGGTCCCATAGGTTCTGGATTATCGGAAGTCTACTGTAGTTACATTAGAGCGTATCCAGAGGAGAGCAACACAAATTAGAAGAGGTTAGAACACATGACATATGAGGAAAGGTAGAAATAATTGTGTCTGTTTCACCAAGAGAAGAGAAGGCTGGTGGAAGATCTGATAGCTGTCTTCAAACATGTAAAAAGGACAAGGATCAGTTGTCCATATCCACTGATGGTAGGACAAGAAGCAATTGGCTGAGCCTGCAAGAAGGAAGACTGAGTTGGATATTGGGAAAAACCTTTTAACACTAAGAATAGTGAAGTACTAGAATAGATTCCAACAGGGGATGTGGAATCCCTGTCATTGGAGATTTTTAAGAACAGGCTGGACAAATACCTGCCAGGATGGTCTAAAAGACCTCTTATGGTCATGTCCAGCCCTACGTGTCTTATGACTAAAATAGCTTTGATTAGCTCATCACTAACCTTGTTGCGTTGTTACTAGAGATGGTCCCAGACCAACTTCTGAAGTCCAAACAACCACAGACATGGTGGGATTTTGAATCGGGAGCCAGTTCTGAATTGTTCAGCTCTGACCTGTCTCCAGTTGTTATTCTGTTGGGTCAGCTATGCTCCATAGGGAACTCGAGGCTGAGCAAAACACACTAAACCAGAAATGCAGCCATATTGCAATGTATGCCAAATCTAGATGGGGACATTTCCCCAGTTACCATGTCATGAAAAAACATTTATAGTTTAAAGCAATTTACATACGTTAACTTCATTTCATAGTAGCTATGGATTTCCCATTGTTGCCTGGAGACACTTATTGCTTGCTTTCAGGCTTGATGAATAAGGAAACTGGAGTCCTGGAAAAACCCAGTAATTGCCACATAACAATAGTGTACTGAATAATTCTTTATTGCAGCTGCCTGAAGGTGAAACCTAGAGGTGTCAATGTTAGCTAAGTGAGGGAAGTTGTAGACTATGTGTAGAACTCAGTGATTGGGGAATTAAAAATTTGGTTTCTATTATTATTTGGCTATTCTCTCTAGGGGTATGTCTGCACTGCGGGGGGTTTCCGGGTATCCCGGAAAACTTCAGCTGTGTCCAAGGAACGCGTTTGCTCTTCCACCTTTTTTTTGCAGAAGAGCAAACACGCTCTTTCGGAGAGCCCTGTATACCACGTTCTATGAGGAAGAAGGGATCTTCTGAAAGAGGAGGCTTTTCCACTATTTGTCTCTGTCTAGACGAGGCCAAATGGCAGAAAAGCCTCTTCCGGACAAGCAATTGGAAAAAGCTATGCAAATAGCACTCCACAATTTGTGTAGCTTTTTCTGAAAAAAAAAAATATAGTGTAAACCTAGCCTAGGTTTCCATAGAGCAATCTTCACAATTACTCCCATTTTGCATTGTCTCCAGCTATGCCACCTGATGGCAGGATGCCACCAGCCCTGTAAGATTTATGAGCTACCTATAAGGTCAACCCAGGTCAGTGGTCAGATGGCAGAGCATCAAGGAAAATCTCTGCACAGCAGGTGGCGCTGTTACTGACTAAAAAGTAGGTCCAGTTCCGTGTCAGATCTGAGCCAATGCCACTGCTGAGTTTGGGGGCATTTGGCTGCTGGAAGGATTCTTTCTTGGATGAAATGTAAAGCAAAAGCACTGGTCAGTTCTGAACAGAAGGGTTTGATTTGAATAAGGTGAGGTCTGATAGTTACCTGCCTCCGCTGGCTCCTGCAACTCAAACATTTGTGTAGACAATAGGTTTCATTGCTCACTGGCTATCCTCCACTTACCTGAATTTCATGCACCGTTCTAGCTCTTGTATGTGCCAATGCACAAAAAGGGGACTTGGAGCTCACTGAATATCCCATCGCACATTTGGCAAGAGTTGGGGCACTGGCATCATCCAAGAAATTCTGAATGTGTGAGCCATATTTTGTTAGGATTTTAAAGTGATGGGTTCTAATTTCCTCTGTATCTTATTTTCCCCTTAGTGCAGATGGGGACTTTGCAGTCACCCACCTGACCAAAGCTCACCTTTTTTATGATGGAAGAATCAAGTGGATGCCTCCTGCGATCTACAAAAGCTCCTGTAGCATTGATGTCACCTTCTTCCCATTTGACCAGCAAAACTGCACCATGAAGTTTGGCTCCTGGACCTATGACAAGGCCAAGATAGACTTAGTGAGCATGCACAACCATGTGGACCAGCTGGACTACTGGGAGAGTGGCGAATGGGTTATCATCAATGCTGTGGGCAATTACAACATCAAGAAATACGAGTGCTGTGCAGAGATCTACCCTGATATCACTTACTTCTTCATTATCCGGAGGCTGCCCTTGTTCTACACAATTAATCTGATCATTCCATGCCTCCTAATCTCCTTCCTGACTGTCTTAGTCTTCTACCTGCCTTCAGAGTGTGGGGAGAAGATCACTCTTTGTATCTCAGTGCTGCTGTCACTGACCGTGTTCCTGCTGCTCATTACGGAAATCATCCCTTCCACCTCCTTGGTCATCCCCCTGATAGGGGAGTATCTGCTCTTCACCATGATATTTGTCACCTTGTCCATCATCATCACCGTCTTTGTGCTCAACGTGCACCATCGCTCCCCCCGCACCCACACCATGCCCGACTGGGTGAGGCGGATCTTTCTCGACATTGTCCCGCGCCTCCTCTTCATGCAACGGCCCTCAGTGGTGAAGGACAATTGCAAGAAGCTCATTGAGTCCATGCACAAAATAGCCTCCTCGCCACAGCTTTGGTCAGAGACCGAAGTGGAGCCCAAGTTTACTACCTCCTCTTCAAACAGCCCTCAGAGCAAAGACGTGTCACCGACCTCTTCCTTCTGTGCCCATCTTGGGGAGCAAGCCAAGCCCCAGGCTGTCGGAAAGTCACCATCTCTCCAGTATTCTGTGCTACATCAAGAGCCGGTACAGGCTAGCTGCTCCTCCCTTCAGCCCCCCTGCCATCCTCTGAGCGACACCCAGTCCATGCCCATCTCCAAGGGCAGGTCAGTAAGCGTTCAGCAGATGTACAGCCCCAGTAAAGGAGAGGATGGGAGCATCCGCTGCAGATCCAGGAGTATCCAGTACTGCTACCTGCAAGAGGAGTTTTCCCAGACCAACGGCCAGACCGCTGGCTCTCCAGCATCTCAGCGGGGCCACCTAAACGAAAAGCCACCCCAAAGCAAAGCCTCCCAGTGCAAATGCAAGTGCAAAAAGAATGAAGCCACCAGCTCTTCAGAGCAAGGAACCAAAGCTCTCAGCGCCAAAGAGCAACACGTTTTGCTGATGTCCCCTGCCTTGAAGCTGGCCGTGGAGGGGGTCCACTACATTGCAGACCATTTGAGAGCAGAAGATGCAGATTTCTCAGTAAGTACAATTGGCTGCCTGCCCCCCGTGGTGATTGCTGACCCGGAGTGGGACAACTCACGTAATGGTTGTTACTAGAGCTGGCGGAAAAGCAGGTCAAATGGTCCGGCCCCTGTTAAGTATCCCCATTTTTATGGAATATTTTTCAAATGTGGAAGCATCCCAACTGGTTTTAGGCATACCCTTGGCTGGGATCCAGTCAATGAGCATTGGGGGACCCTTGGTTTCTTGCAAGGCTGGGGCTCAGGTTAGCAGTGCTGCCATGTGGCTGTTACCCAGGCCTGCCGACTGGGGGTAGGGGGCAAAAGGGGACAACATCCCTGGAGCCTTATGATTTACAGGGGCCGAGGGCTCCAAGTCCTTTAAATCACCACTGGAACACCGGCTCTTGGGGATGCCTGGGGAGGTGGGGGCACTGTGTGGTGCACCCCAGGCAGTACTGAGGACTGGGATGGGACAGCGCCATGGTCTGGGTGGCACTGAGGGCCAGCTGCCCTTGGCCCTGCCCCTTCCACATCAGGTCCTGCCTCTTTCACCTGAGTCCCCGCCCCTTCTGGGAGCATGGAGTCAGACCCTCCCCCCACTTGCCCTGAGGCCCAGCATGACTGTCGGTTCCTTTGCTGCTGCCTATTTCGTGATCTATCCATATAGGGGAAGATTGTAGCTTGTTGTCAAGAACTGCATCTGTCATTGCTCTTTTCACCTCAGCAGCCATCTCGGAGCTCTCAGAAGTTGGCTGTGCTTAGCACGACACTGTGCTGATCTCTGGCACCAGGTCTTGTTCAAATCACCGTTGTTTATAAGCTTCACCTACTGCAGCTCAGAGTTAGCCCTTCCCTTGCCTATAAATAAGAGATCTGGACATGGTTTTATAATGATGCAGCAAAGGATCGGAACACTTGGTGAAAGCAAATCATACCAGACTGAGCTCGACGGAGCTCTGAACTGTGGTCTTGTGGGTTGTTAAAATGCCTCCCAAGAGGCGGTGAGCACTGTAAGTGGAGATTTGCGAAGAGAGTTATAAAATCATGACTGGTGTGGAGAAAGGGAATAGGGATGTGATATTTAGGCCTTCCTTTAATACCAAGATCTAAGAGGACACCTGGTGAAATAAATTAGTGGCAGATTAAAAACAAGCTCACAAAATACAGTTACCTGTGGAATTTATTGCCAAAGGATGCGGGGCCAGATCAATTCTGGGGCCCGGGGCTACTTGATTTTGTGGAGACTCTGACCCGGGGGAGGGAGGTGGGGTGTCAAAAGTGGTGCAAAGTGCAGGCTCTGGCCAGGGTGCAGCAGAGCTGAAGCAGGCTACTTGCATGCAGTGGCCCCGTGCTGCTCCCAGAAGTGGGCAGCTGTTGGCATGTCTCTGCAGCTCTGATTGGGCATTTCCTGGCCAATGGGAGCTGCAGGGATGGTGCTGGGGCAGGGGCAGTGCACAGAGCCACCTGTCCTCTTCTTGCCTGGGGCTGCAGAGACGCGCCAGCAACCGACTGCTTCTAGGCGTGGCATGGAGCCATGGCCTGCTGGAGCCCTGCTGCACTGCTGGACTTGTAGCGGCCTGAAGATCGCAATTGACCAGCAGAGACTCCAGGATCAACCAGTCAAATGCACTCGATGGGCGAATGACCGCTGGTTCATGAATTTATTTTTGCAAGTCCCCTCTCAGCCCCAGACCCCGGGCTGCAGTCCTTAAAGTCTCTGCCTTAAACTGACCCTGAGATGTTGTGAGGGTCAAAAGTATAACTGGGTTCAAAAAGAATTAGATAAGGTCCATCTGTGACTATTAACAACCCCGTGCTCTGGTGTCCCTAAACCTGTGACTGCCAGAAACTGGGACTGGACAACAGGGGATAGATCACTTCAAATCATCCTGTTCCCTTTGGAGCATCTGCTACTGGCCACTGTCATAAGAGAAGACACTGGGTTAGATGGACCATTGTTCTGACCCACTATGGCCTGTGTTATGAAACTTCAGCTTCAGAGCCACTGCCCTTTGCTGCTTCTGCTTTAGTATATTTAGAGACCTGCACATCAGTGCAGAGGAGAAAGAGTTTCTCTTAAAGCTCCTGTTACTTCTTTAGTACCATTGCCACAAGGGGCATATTTCTACCTTAAAAGTAAATTGTTCATTTCATGAAGTGCTTGAATCAAAAAGAAAAATGCAAAAGCAGAAAGCATCAGAAAGCAGAAAGACGTTACAAAAATGTCTGCATACAAATCCAGGCACACAGTCACACTTAGGGAAATGACTGAAAATTGAATTCCTCCAGTATAGAATAGAAATGCCACCAGAGATTTCTCACTGCCTATGATGAGCAAGACAAGCTGTATGTCAGACCTGAGCTAGAACAACCAGGTTGTCTTTTCATTACCACCTGGCATTAACAACATGGTCTGGAAACACCGCCACGCATGTTAACACAATCATATTCATTTATGCTGGAGAAAGACACTATTTCCTCTGAACAAATGACGGTTTTACCAGTAATTAGTATTCCAGAATGATACACTGCTGGTAGCCTGCATTGTTTGCTCTTTGCCTATTGTTTAGCATTCTTGTTTCCGGAACAAATGTTTGAAGTGTCCTGGAAGGCAGCATTATACTGTGACAGGAAAATCATCCTTGGCATTATAGTAAAATGAAAATGGCAAAACAAAGAACCACCATGTTCAGACCATCGGGCCTTTCCATTGGCTGAAGAGTCCTTTGAAATGATCGGTTGCTTTATTCAACACAGCTGAGTTAATAGCCTGACCAT